CATGTTGTGGCGCTGACTAGCTGGGCGAGTCGGTCGTACCTTGTGATGGTTCGCACAGTCTCATCTTTATCATTCCGATATTCTGCATAGCAGACGAAGTTGAAACTGATGACTGCGTGATCACTGCGACCCAACGGGCAGTCTAAAACCAACGCATCAATCATATGCTCTTCGTTGGTAAGCACAAGATCCAACACAGATGGCCTGTTACCAGTTCTGAACCGAGTGGGCAAAGTGATGTGGTTGTAAAGAGGAGCAGTAGTTACTAGATCTTGTAAATCTGTTTTGAATTGTTCGCCGGTTGTGGCAGGGGCTTCTAAACAATGTACGTTGAAATCACTCATGATAAGAATGTGAGTAAACTTTTGTTGTAAACTGCACCTTAAAGCAGCCATTAGGTGGTAGTCGGTTTCGGGTGTTGAGTTAGGGGCGCGGTACACCAGGATAATAAGGCAAGCGTCCCTACCTTTTAACTGCAACCGGCAACAAAGAGAGTCGGGGAACTGCGAATCTGAATCCTCCACGGCTTCGCACTGTAAGTCGTTTCGGTAGTACAGGATTACCCCACCACCAAATATGTCAGCCTAACGTTCACGCATCGCACATCCTGTTACTCTCCCAACTCTACAACCCTATATCCCCCCATACACTTATCACCCCCATCCCACCACTCTCCTTCCTCAATTCTCACAAACCTAACCTCCCTAAATAACTCCCTACCATCTCCAAATACACCCCTCCTTCCTAAACACTTACACACTTCTCCTCCTCTCTTATCCTCATACCCTATATTTCTCCATCCTCCTCATTTCTTACTTCCTAACAACTAAAAAATCATTTACCCATCACCACTAAATCCCAATCAACTTCCCCTTATCTACCCTCCAACTAAACTCCACCTACCTCTACCCAACCCTCCTCCTACCCTAACCCCAACATACCCAACTACCTACATCAATCATCAACCTAATCAAACCACAATCTCATATCTCCAATAAATCTCCCAAACCCCTCCAAACTTCCTTCCTCATAAACCTCAAACACCTCCCACTCACCCCCCCCACCCCAAATCAATAATCACATCCATCCCCCCCCTAAAACTTCAACACTTTCCCTCCACCACACACCAACTCATCTCTCTTACACATTATCTCTCACTATCCCCCCCCCCACCACCCCCCTCCCTATAAACCCTCCATCCCCCTCCCCATAACACCCACTATCAAACCTTACACAATCCCCACTTAACTCCTTCATAA